CTTGCCCTCAGATTGTAACTTCAATAAGTCATATACATTTAATTTGCTTAAAAGATTGATTTCACTGATGTTAGACCAAAAATGTACTTTCTTTTTTTTTTTCAAGCAAATGTATTAAGAATCAAAAATTTACTCTTTCAAATAGTAAAATGTATAAAGCAATTGCCCACATAATATCAGAGTAAATTAAATGTTTTAAAAACTGAATGTGTATCACTAGTATTTAAAGTTGCTAACTTCTTCATAAGTAAGTTTGTCTAAAAATAATAATTGTTGTTGCCTCCTCTAGGGGAATCTAGACTGGTTTGTTTTCACACAGGATCATAAATCTGTGTGTGTGTGTGTGTGTGTGTGTGTGTGTGTGTTTTCCTGTCCTCATGGCTAACGTGCCTACACGATATAAAGATATGCACAAGAAAAAGGTGCTGCCCCTGAGGATAGGCTGAGCATTTCATAAGTCACCTACGACCACAAACTTGCTGCCCAAATACCGCTGTCAATATTTTTCATTCTCCTGTTAAGGTAAATGTCCTGTATTTCAACAAGGCCTTTGTTCCTGGCCTGCACCCTATGCAGAAAGCAGAACATCCTTGAAAGCTTCTGTGCCAAGAAGACAGAATACTTAACATCACAAAAGAAAGTGGACCACGGTGCGTTTTCGCAGTAAGATTTATAAGAAAATTTAACTGCAGGAGGAAACAGGGTTCAGAAAGTTCTCTATAAATCCTAAAGGACTGCATTGTAAGCGCCCGGGTGATGTAAGCCGGTGCTAGAGAGCCAGAAACAGCTAGAATGTTGAAATGAACAGGTGGGCCCCTTTCTCTAGGCCCAGGCCCCGCCGGCTTGCATCTTGCAAGCCCTCAGCCCTAGTCCACTGCCAGGCGCGCCTCCCTGAGAAAAGGTCGCGCCCTCCGGCCTCAGCCAAGGCCAAGGCCAAGGCCAAGGCCAAGGGCCTAGCTCCCCGCGGCTCCGCGGGCCTAGAGCGGCCTGGACCCCGGACCTGGACAAGTGCCTGGGCCTGGGCCCGCGGTCTAGACCCGCCGCCTGTACCCCGGCCCGTGTTCCCCCCAGTCTACACCCCGGCCCTGGACTTCCCCCCAGCGGGGCGCACCGCCTGCACCGCCTGGCACAGCCGCCCGCGCGCTCCACGCGGAGCCGGGCGGCCTCGGCCCTGGCTGGGCAGCTTGGGGACGGACGGCCGGTCCCCCGCAGACGCCCTCGCCCGCCGACCCGGGGCCCGGTGCGCCCCGACGGCGCTGGGCCGGGCCGCGCTGCGGCCTCCCCGCGGGGCCAGGACCGACGCCCGGGCCGCAGCCCAGTCCGCGGGCGCTCGGCTCCGGCCCCCGGTGCACAGGGACCGGCGTCCGCCCGCAGGTCCGGAGCCGGTGAGGCCGGCGCCCTGGGCCGGGGTGGCACCGGCCCGGGAAGGGAGCTAAGATGGCGCGGACCGGGAGCAGCGGGAAGGCTGAGCCAGAAGGGAGAGCTAGCTGCACGTCCCTTTCTTCTGCCTTCCTCTTTTAAAAAAAAAAAAAAATACGCTGCTTTTGAACACTGGGAAACCCTGCCGATCACGGGGAGGAGTCGCCATCCCTCTCCGTCCTCACTCTGACCCGCTACCCTCACGGAGATGGAAAGGCGACCCAAAACCTAACCCGGGCGCGCAGGTCGCCAGCGGCCCTTTCACAGCCAAACCCCGAACCCAACGCAAACTCGGGTCGCGTGGGCACGGCAGCAGCAGCCTCGCGGATACATAGGCCGTGTCGCCTCACCCAAGACTCCCTGGAAGCGGAGGGAGAGCCAGGAGCAGGCCTGGGAGGGACCAGCCAGCACACCGCCTCCGAGAGGAGAGGAGCGCGAAGCCGCAGCTTCACCGCGTGCGGACTCGGTGCGCGCGCGGCAGCAGGTGGCGGAGCGGAGAGGGAAGCGGCCTCCCTCTTTTCCAAGCGCCTCCTAAGAGCAACTGGAGTGCGACCTTCAAGGACGAGGCACTGCTCTCCTGTGAAGTCTATGCTCGGCTTCTAAGAGCTTAGATTAGACAGGACACCGACTCCTTTGCTGGAGGTGCCTGCGGTCCTGGGCCGGCGGGCCGCGCCGCGCTGCGGAGCCCACGCGCTCCAAGGGCTCCACGCGGCCTGGGCCCAGCGCCCTCCCCACCCAGCATTCGCACCCCGGGCCCGAGGTCGAAGGATCGCAGCCCCAGTAGGGGATTACAAGAATACACTGCCCAGGCACCATGCTTTGTACTTTCCGTCCTCCTGTTTAGTTCTTAGGTGTGGGCAGGGAAAGCAGCACAAAGGAAAATCGGTCGTCGCGTGTTTGGCCAGCAGACAGCACTCCGCGGAACGCCGTCTAGTGGCGAAACTGTCCAGGGAAGACAAACCGGTTTCGCTCCCCACTCTTAATTTTCATTTTCATGTGAATTTTGAAGCCTCTTGGCATGACAAATAGTAAAAGTGAGACAGGACGATCTCTAGGTGAAGGTACTTTTAGGCCTGAAACCTGAACCTGGCCCAGACTAAGCAAGAATGTTGAGCCACTTTCCACCTCTTTTCCTGGATCTCCTTCCTCTGGAGACAAAGTACAAAAACCGCTTCTCCCCGAGGTAAACGCAGAGAGAGCTCTGCGGACCCCTGGGCTCAGACTCAGCGACCCTCTCCCCCAGCTGGAATATCTACATGCCTGCATTTATTCTCCAGGGATGGGGATCTGGCTTGGGCATGGATTCCCCTACAGAAAGGATGGATCAGTGCCCCCAAATATACGTCTCAAATCAAGTTTTAAGTTCGTGGTTAAAGAAACTTGACCTTTCACGAGTTGGTCACCCTTCTCCAGCCCCGCCGAACACCTCCCAACCCCCAAACCATCCATTAAAGGAATGTAGGCCATTCTGTGTTTGCATTTACAGACTCGCCACTGGTATCCAAAGCCTCATATTTAAAGACAATTTTCGACTTCTGCCTAAAGCTGTGGTTAACAGCCTAGTTTGCCATGCACTTACATTACACCCTACTCTTACTCAAAGCCTCACGCCTTACTTCGTAAACATTAAAGAAATTTTAATTCCTTATTAAAGACCCTCTGTTTTTCCTGCTTGGATTACTTCCAACAACGTGCAACCACGTGAAATGACTCGGAGAGCTAAGTAACTGCAAATAAGAAGAAAAAGGGATTCACTAGCAGTGCTAAAAAACAAGTTTAAGAGGGGAATGGGAGGTGGTTCCCATTGAACAGACTACCCCAGACCAGAGCGGTCCTTAACCCTTAAAAGTTACTGCCTATAACAATTAAATTATTCCCAAACTGTACACTGCTTTCAAACACCATAGTGTTTCACCAGGTTTATTTTACTTGTTGTACACAGACAATACAAACGAGCAAAAAAACAAAACATTTCTCAATGGAGTGTGTACTTGAGTATAAATTATTCAGTTCACAGACAAAACGAAACAAATATAAAAATCACAACATCAGATTTACAGGAGAGCCAAAGTATACACACGGTCAGACCCTGAATTCCTATTAGGAAAAATCCCCCCCCACGGACTGGAATCTAGATTGAATATTGTGCATGATGCATATTTCACATTGATTTTAAAATACAAAAAAAAGTATAGGTTTGCTACACAACATTAGAAATCCTACTCATCTATTTCCAGGGGGGATAAATGTTTCTTATCAAATATAACAAGACTCAGAGGGGAGAAAAATCAGTCTTACTTGCATGAATGCTAGTGTTTTCGCAAGGAAGTCAAATTGCAGCTGTTTCTAGGCAGTGGGGGAGTCGTTTTCAAAACTAAAATGCAGTAAAATATACAACTCACAATTCATCTTCACTAGACTACACTATAGTTACCAACAAGTCAGTCATCTATATTATTAGGGGAATCGTCATTACAAAGATTTACAGCATATAAAGATGGGGGGGTGGCTGAAAAGATATTCAGAAACAGTTTGTCAGCATATTTGGCACCTGCACAGACCAGTAATGGATTTGGCACTTTGGGGAAAAACAAATAAGGCAAAATAATATTGCTATGTTGAGCTATTCTATTTAGAAAGAAGGAGGGGAGGGGGGACATACAATTCCAGTTAACTTTGCAGGCTTCATGCCACTTAAATCGACTTGGCTAGGAATAGACACGTCAAGTGTCTAGTCGGGTTCTCCGCAGCCACTTGTGTGCATGAGGGCACAGAGCAATTATTTCATGCAATGGGTTGAGGAGAAGTGAGAAACTCATCCTTATATCTATCAAGTATTTCAGGTTTCCAGAGCCTCTTAGAATATTGTTCATTATCTCTCAAGAAAAATAAATAAATAAATAAATAAAATTAAAGGGGAAGAGGTGGGTGGAGAAAAAGGCAAAGAAGACATGAATGGAAAGGTGAAGCGGGAACTGGTTTTTGTGCCTCGACGGTGAAAATAAAAACTAGCCATTCATTACAGCAAATGAACACTATGTACAATCATTTCACAGGCTTTGTTCCACTAAAAGTATTAACATCCCTACCATCCATCCATCCATCCATCCATTGGGGATAAGAAAGGACGCGCTGGGTGGATCCAGGTTCTAGAGTCAGCATCCTAGGGTTCATGGGGAGGCGGTCGGGTGGGAACCGCTCCTGCCCAACGGGCTGCCCCAGGTCTCCCAAAGGTGAAGAAGTTTCCTTACAAGAACTAGAAGGGGAGGTGGGGGGAGAGAAGAAGACGAAGGGGATTAGGTGGGAGGGGAAGTGTGTGGAGGAGACCTTCACCGAAGGAGAGAGAGAGAAGTAGGAAAACCAAACGGTTTGGAGGTCGGTGCGCTAACTGCAGACACTGCTGTGCAAAGACTGGTCAAAGCCACGTTCGCTGCTGCAGACGGTCCTCGAGGGTCCAGTGGCATGAGGGGGTGCGCCGGGCGGGGGCCCGGAGGAGGAGGAGGAGGAGGAGGAGGAGCTGGGAAGAGCCGCGAGGGGCCTGGGGCAGCCCCGGGGCGCGCGGCCGGGGGTCCGGGGCCGGCCTAGCTGTGCGAGTAGAAGCCGTAGTAGCCGCCCAGGTCCTTGGCGCAGTTCTTGTCGCAGTCCCGCTGCGCCAGCACCTCGCTCTTGAGCGGCGACGAGCTGTCGGACGCCGCGGGCGTGTCGGCGGGCGAGATCCGCCTCCGCTTGGCCTGCTCGTAGATGCCCGAGTCGCTCGAGTCGATGGACTTGATGGAGGAGGGCGTCTCGATCCAGCTGGAGTCGGACAGGTCCTTGGGCTTGGCGTCCTCGGCGGCGGCGGCGGCGGCGCCGGGCGGCGGCAGCGGCGAGCGCTCGGCCGCCAGGCCCTCGGCCTCCTCGCCCAGGTAGGGGTGCGCGCCGGCCACGCGCGCGGCGGCCGCGGCGCTGTTGGGCCAGCAGGGCAGCACGGCGCCCGCCTTGGCGCCGCAGTACTGCGGGGGGCTGCGCGCGCCCCAGCCCGACGGGTCGGCGGCGGCGGCGGCGGCGGCGTAGTAGCCGAGCGGGCGGGCCGCGCAGCCCGCCGCCTGCAGGGGCAGCGCCTTCACGCCGGCCGCCGCGTACGACAGCAGCGTGGCCGCGTTGCCCGCGAAGTCCGTGGCCGTGTCGTAGGCCGAGGCGGCGAAGTCCAGCCGGTTGTTGGCCGGCGCCACGAACCAGCGCTGCGGCGACGGCGCGCCCGGCTCCTCGGCCTGCTGCGGCGACAGCAGCCCGTTGGTGTGCGGCACGCTGCGGTCCGCGCCCGGCCCGGGGCCCGCGCCCGCGCCCGCGTGGAAGCGCGCCTTGGCGTAGTTGCTCACGAACTGGTCCTGCAGGAAGGAGCCGGCCATGGCGTAGCGGGCCCCCGGCACGATCTGCGAGCGCGGGGAGTCGTTGGGGGACGGGGTCAGGCGGTCCATGTCGCAGCCCGTGTAGATCCTGCGAGGGAAGGAGAGAGAGAGAACCGGGGGTGGCGCGGAGGTCCCTGGGGGGGGGGGGGGTGAGGGGGGAAGGACACGGAAGGGAAGGACGCCACGGTGCGCCCAGCCCCGCGCGCTCCATCGGACACTTGCCGTCCAGGATGGAGAGCAAAGGTCACAGACCTGTCTGCTCTCCAAGATACATCGTGGGATTAAAAAGGGAGCGATGTGCCCCAAGATGATTCCAATGAAGAGGTAGGCTTTCCTCGTCCCCTGCTCTCACACTCGCCGAGTGTACAGGGGACCAAAGGGGGATTGGACAGCAGCGGATTCCCACCCCACATCGCCAATGAGTGTACACACGATGGTAGGTTAACTCAGGGCCTGAGGTGTTATCTGCCCAGTGGCTTTCCTCGGCGGAGAGAGTTTCTGAACCAAATTTCTAATCAAGGGACCCACTCCTCTGGCCTTTTAAATCGCTTTCTTCCTATGGACACTCCTGCTGGCCGGCCTAGTACCACTGGCCTCCACCAGCCGCCTGAGACCCGGGGGTGACCGCTGGGAGACTCCACAGGACTGACCGTCTTGTTTCCCTGCATGTGACACTTTAGCCCGCCCCTCTACAGGTACAAACCAGAATGACTACTTGGAAACAAAGTCAACAATCCATCAATTCTTTTACAAAGAAAAAGTATTCTTTACTCGGGCCTTCTCTGCCCAGCTTTGGATTCCCTTATTGGTTTAAAAAAAAAAAAAAAAGTACTTTGGGGCAAACTCTTAGAAGACAGTTGTCCACTTCCTCCAAGCAATCTCCCACGAATCATCGCTAACCTTATACAACTTGACCAGGTGCCAGGCACTGTGGTCTAGGGCTGTACACATGGTGATGTATTGAACTATCACGATAATCCTTGGAGTTAGGTATCATCATTACCCCCACTTGACAGACAGAAAAAACTAACGCCAGGGGAAGTTGAGTAACTTGCCCTACAGGTAATTGCCCAAACAGTAATTGTGTTACTGGGAATCACCTTAGATAAAAGAATCAAAATATTAACTCTAGGCCCTGGGCTTAGAAAAATCCCATTAGGATTAAGAGGGAACCAGAGATTGGCTCAAGATTGGTAGCAGTGTTTTCTCAGACACATACACACATGCCTCTCTTTTTATTTAGCTCACACTTAAATGTTTTAATATTTAATCAGCAGACTGTTTTGAAAGAGAGCCTCGTTTTTTGTCAGACCTTAAGCCTCTGGGGAGGAGATTCCCTGGTGAGTGGCCAAGCATCCTGCTAGTCCCCTAAACTCTCACTGCTCTCCCAGTTTCTCTAGGACAGTGGAAAGGGAGGTGTCATGGACCCCTAAAAAGCTAAGTGTCTATTCGTACAGGTAAAGAAGCCTTTTGTGAAAAATCCGCAGAGATTTACCAATCACAGGGCACTGGTTTTCCTAACTGAAGTCAGCCAGAGGAGGGGCAGGTGAGGGTACTCTGCAGCTAGCTGCTCGGGTCCATTTTGTTTACCGCACAAAATTTCCCTCTGAAATTCCAGTCAAGCTCCAAATTAGAGAAGTAGAAGGAGGTAGAAAGGGAACATAACCAGCAAGTTGCAAAGGTCTTTCCTGTTTACCACCACAATATTTTAAAAGGGGGGGAAAACAGTCTACAAAAGACACGGTTTAGATGCCCATCCAGGTCCCAATGCACTCAGGATTACTGAATTGATTTGTGCAAAATAAATGCTTTGGAACAGATGTTCACAACAGAATTAAAAGCTCAAAATCTACAAGTCCCCCCCCAATCCCCTTCATACAGACACCAATGTCTCTGGTCTCCTGGGCCACACACTTCCCACTGTGCCAGGTCCACCTTTTTAGCCTGGGAGGACTAGGGTAGCCAAGTTTTTATTCTAGATAATCATAGGTAAAGCTTGCTTCCTTTGAACTAATTTTGAAGGATGCACAATTTGTTATTAAAAAAAATATCAGAAAAGGATGTTGGTATCTACCTGGAGATGGAATAGAAGCAGCCCCTTGTCTCTTTCTCTATACATTTAATCTATTTCTAGTAAAATACATCTTCAATTTTGTAGCTCTATCCCAAGCACTTAATGCAAGCCAAGAAATTAAAATTTATTTACCCTTCCCTTTTATGGTCAGGAAAAGGCCTGGGATCCCCGCAATCTAGATTAGATTTTGCTATAGAGCACTACCTGAGCTCTTAGGCACTATCCCAGGACTCTGAGCAAGAATGCGAGAACATGCACAGAGAGCACTAGTATACACCTGCTGCTGCCCCAGAGGACAGCATGTTGGCAGAAAAGAAATGGAGGCAGGTAAGGGAGGCTTGGAGAAAAGGGGACCAACACTTTTCATTAGAACACACGTAGGAGGAAATATTTTCCTCGCAAAGCTTATACATAATACACAGCAACAGCACCCCGTTCCTTCCCAAGCCTGACATGGCTTTATAGTGGCTCCGCTCATGAATTTGCCTCTGGTGGGTGCACATTTTTATTCCGTCCACAGTAAACTTGCACAGGAAAAGCTATTACACAAAACTTGGAAGCGGGTAAATAAAAGTCACATATGCCATGAAGACTGTAACAACTGCCAGAGCCACAAGCACTTTCAGGCAGAATCCGGAGGTTTCAACACAGACAGTCTGAGCTGAGCACCTGCAGCGCCACATAGCACTCTCCCGCACCCGGGACCGGGACCGGGCAGCTTCCCCTGCCAGCCAGCCAGCCTCAGAGGCCCCAACAACTTTGCGATTTCTAAGGAAGCGAAAAATATGTGGAGGAAACCTTTGACCAAAACTACTGAAGTACTAAGCCAGAGAGAACGGAAGTTGACAAAAGGGAGAGGGGCAACCTGGGAAACAACCTTGTCTTCACACATTCCAGCTTCCAAAAACCTTGTCGGTAACAATCCACCTTTGACCCAAAGCCCAGTTCCACAACTGTTTGAGAAGAAAGGAGCAAAATTACTTACGTGTCATAGTTATCCCGAAATCCTTTTGCAAAGGGGTTGTGGTCTATTTTCAGTTGTGTAATCTGGGAAAGAGAGAGAGAGAAAAAAAAGATTAATAGGATCTCACCTTCCATACAAGAGGATTGGGTGTTTGAGGATATAGCATTTGCCACTTTTTATAGGGGCTTAAGTCCCAGGATTCATCAAATAGTGCGTTTTTCCTAACTGAAAAAGTTGAGGGCATGATGGAAAGTGTGTGTGTAGGGGGGGAGTTATCATGAAAGTTTTGAGGAACATCTTTAAATTAATGATGCCCCAAACTAAAGCACTGCTTTCAGTTAGCTCTCCTATGTGCTCTAAATTGGTTCAAATGCACATTTTTAAAACGCTTGTTACACATAATGCACTTACTCAGACAAAAAGTCTCTAAGGGGTGCTTGAATTGCCTGTTTTAAATGCTTCACCATATTTTTAAAAGTTGGTTGCTTCTGAGTCACACAACCAAACATACAAGCTGCATCTTAAAATCAGTGTTGGTTTTTGCAAACTTGCAAATGCTGAAGAAATCAAGAGCTAGAAAATTCATTCCCTAGCCCAAATTTAATTTACTGTATTTTTACATGTATGAATTAGTATGTTCTTTTGCTCCAAAAGTAGTGTTTTTTTTTTATTTCAGCCATCAATTCTGAAATATGTATATATTAGGTAATGCCTCACGTTGCCAAGAATATAATGCAGAGTAAAATCTGCTTGTTTTCTAAAGGAAAGGGGGCTTTAAAAAAAAAAGCATATTTAAATGTGTTCTAGTTTGAGAACTAAATAAAACATTCCAAAGGAAAGAGGCCCTAGAATTCCTGAGCATCTCAAAGGTGGCCCGCATGACCCGTCACAGAGACGTAAATTCCAGGGGCTGGGTTTAGGGGAAGTAGCAGCAGGCCCCTGTGCCTTCCTTAAGGTTAACAGGCCAGCAGAACCAGCGGCTGCTGAGATGGTACCCAGCCCAGCCGGGCGGCGGGTGCGGGGGAAGCAGGTGCCGCCCCGCCCGGCCCAGCCCGCGCTGCTCACGTCCGTGTTCTGGTAGGCGGTGACCGCGATGAACTGCGTCTCCGGGAAGGTGAAGGTCTGCACGCGGCCGGGCTGGCTGGTGTCCTCCGTGCCGTCCTCGTTCACTTCCACCACGTGCAGGCGCGGCTGGTACTTGTGCAGGGACTGCAGCACCACCATCTGTCCCGCCGGAGAGAGGGAAGCGCCGCGGCGTCAGCGCGGGGTGCGCGGGCCCGGCGGCGGCGGGAGCCCGCCCGGGGCTCACTGGCCCGGGGTCCCCGGCTGGCCACCTGGGGTCCCCCGAGCTGGAGGGACCAGCCGCGCCGCGCCGGGAGCCAGGGCCGCCGGGATCCAGAACCCGCCCGCCCGCCCAGCCTCGGGCCCTTCTCGGGCCCTTCTCGCAGTCCTTCCTCCCTGAGCGAGAAACAAAGATTTTCCAAATCTGCAGATCCTGAGGGTTTCCTTCGCAAATCAATCAAGTATTCGTACTAGGTTAGGTCGTGAACTCGGAAATCGGGCGGGGTGGGGGAGGGAAGAAGGACAACTTTACAGATCATTTACTGTAATGTTTGGGGGGTGAAATAGAATTTTTAAACGTCTTTTTAATGAAGCAAAGAAACATGTATCCAGTTTTTCATGCTGATTTAACAAATGAACTGAATGTTGAGGGGGCGAGTGTGTGTGTGTGTGTGTGTGTGTGTGTGTGTGTTTGTGTGTGTGTGTGTGTGAGAGAGAGAGAGAGAGAGAGAGAGAGAGAGAGAGAGAGAGAGGAAATAGCACTTGAGCCACTGACCTGCCCATTGTTGTTTGAAGCTCCTTTGTTGTTCGTAAGTTTTAATTTTCCAAAAGAGATTTCTTGGCGCATCCAGTGAGCCCCAGTGTTGGGGGAATCCGGATGCATATAGACCCGGTTTCCTAGAGAGAGAGAAACACGTTGTTTACATATGCCCCGGGCACTGCCCAGTCCCCACTCCACACACACACACACACACACACACACACACACACACACCTTATCCCCTCCAGGCAGAAGCCCATTAGCCTGGCTTTTCAGGCCGCGCTTTCTCCCGATGAACTGGGCGCCCTATTAAAATCGCTTTGGGATAATCCTCCCCTTCTCTCCGCTCAGCCTGTCTGTCCCCCTTTTCCCCCTCGTTCCCTTTTAGAAGTCATTGGCCGACCGTTTTAAAAGTCGCCCCAGCCTGTCCACAAAGGCTTTAATTAATCATTCTCACCTACGGAAGTGTCAAGGAAACGTGTTAATTGGAAGGACTTGCCTTGCACATTGGTGTCCGCTTTGCCGCAAGGAACCCATTTGCCTCCTTGAAACCTCCAGTGATTGGGATCCGCCAGAATCACATCCACAAAAATATTGTAATGAGCCGTGGGATCGAGACCAGAAATGTTAAAACTTAAAAAAGGAAACATGCGCCTGTTTAAATTAAAGGAGGAGTGGGAGAGAAAAACAAGGAGGAAAACATAAATGTTAAAGATTAAAAGCAAGAAGCGCGGCGCCAGATAGCAAAGCAAAACTTGTCCCCTCGGCGCCGGTAGCAATGTTTTGGGGTTAGAAAAGGGGTGATGGGGAAGGGGAAGAAGCGTGGAGTCGGGAGTGGGGGCTCAGGGTGGGCTGGGGGGTCGGCAGGTACGGCTGCCGGGGTGCAGAGCCAGGTTGGCGACCCGCACTTCCACCTGCCGCGCCTCCGGGCTCCCTCCCCACTCCCGGCAGCGGCTGGCCCCGTTTCCCCCCTCGCTGTCGCCTTTCCCTGGCCGCTGCCTGCCTTTCCGACCACCTTTCTGGAAAGGTATCCCCCCCACCCACCCACCTACCCCCAACATCACCGCAGTGGTTCTACCTTCCGCTTCCCCCTTCTCCCAAACCAGCCAACTCTGGGGAGCACCGGAGCGCCTTCCCCTCCGCTCCGGATCCCAAATCCTCATCGCAGCCGCCGCCGCGGTCCCCACTTGCCCCCCGGGCCGCCCCAGGAGGAGCTCCGGCGGAGGACGCAGCCTTACCTCCCCTGCTTGGTGATGATCATCTCCGTTTGGTGCCGGTGGAATTTCAGCCACAGGGGCCTGTTGCACAGGTACACCTGCGCTTTGCCGGGCACCAGCCCGGGCTGCGTGGAGGAGAACTGGTAGAACGGAGCTCCCTGGTAGGAGTGGCCGTACTGCTGCGGGTAGGGGTAGCCGGCCGCGGGGTAGCCCTGCGGCGAGGAGTTGGACAGGAGGCTGTTGTAGGCTCCGTTGGTGATGACCGGGTGGTGGGCCATGTAGCGGCTGGGGCTGCCGATGGAGAAGGCGGGGTGCGCGGGTCCGTGCTGGCCGGGGTACGGGAACATGGCACTGGGAGCAGTGGCCGCAGACTGAGGCTGGCTGGACTGAGAGAGGAGGTAGCGATCGGCAGCAGAGCCATCGAAACTGTGACGAAGCTCAGAGACCCCCTCCAAGACAGGAGAGAGTTTACTTCTCTGGACGTCCCCTGGTGAGTCCTTGGAGTCAGGAAAATTGTCTGTATCTGACTGATTCGTCATCCCCCTGGTGATTTTTTTCAAAGGTGAACTTCTCTCCAGGTTGTCAGTCGCCGAGATAATGGGATGGTCGTGCAAGACAAGCTCGGATCCGCCTGAATGTGGGTAGCTGCTGCTCACATTGAGAAATTTCTTGGAGAGCATGATAGAAGGAGAGAGGCAGTGCTCCAGCTGCATAGCTCTAGAACCTGAGCACGCGCCCTCCCGTCCCTGATTTTTAAAGTCCTATTTATCATAAACTAGAAATCCACAGACCCCTTCACTAGACAGAAAGCACTTCATCCGGCGAATGCTTCCCAAAGGTTTGATTTACTTTTTTTTTTTCCTCCTGGGAGAAGAGATTGGCCAATTGACACTATGCAGCAATCAGAAAAGGCTCGCTCACTTTTGATCTCGCTGCTTGTGCAGCCGATGAAACGGCTCCTGCCATTGGTTCGCTGCTGACAGTAATTTAATTAGATAGACATTAATTAGGATAATCACCTGGCTCCTGGTCGCCGTTGATCATGGCAAATGGAAGGGGATGGTTTTATTGTTGACTTGGGGTGGGGGGTGGGGAATGTGTGTTGGTTTTACGTGAGCACTGTTGTGTCACCTTTAAGCTTTGTGACCACTGCTTTAGGAAGATTCAAAGATGTGCGAGTTACTAAACATTTTCCTACCTCCCCCCACCCTCCCCTTCCCTCCTTTAGAGCTGAGGGGGGCGGAGGAGGGAATTCGGCGATGCTAGGAGACTTCGGATCTGAATGAGCCAAATATTCAGTTGAATGTAACGATTGCAAGTGCAAAGTATACAAAGCGCGAGCTGGTGGCCTCTTCTCGCCCTGCACAAGTTCCAGAGTCTGTCTTTTCCAGTTAATACAGACGCACCCCACACCTGAGCCGGTCCTTTTGTGAGCAGGTCCTCGGCCACCCCCGCCCCAACGCACACCTTTTAAATGCACAAACAAATAAATCACTGCTGCTGAGAATCACAGCGATGAAAGGGGGCGGGAAGAGGGACGAGTGGGGGCGAAAAGCAGCCACGCACTCACCCATCCACCAACCTCCTCCGGGAGGTTCGGTTTCTTGGGTGAGCACAGAACAGTGAGCATCTAGGATCTTCTTAAGTTTTGAAATAATCATAAGCTGTCGGGCTGAAGTGCCTTCCTGTACTTGCACTGATGCTTAAGAGGTCTGAACTAAATATTTTATCAGCGAGCTCGGTTGCACGTTATCTGCAGAGCATCTAACTGGGGGCAGGCGCCCCGCATCTCTCTGCTCCACATTCTCTCCCAGGTGCCGCCTCGGCGGCAGGTTCAGAAGCCTAACGAGACAAGGAAAAGGGCCGAGTCCTCGCGCAAATGGGTTCTTTAGGAGCGCTGATCTGGGGAGACAGAGTGGAAGTGGTGTCAACACAGTGATCGCTACTGAAGACTGTGCGTGAGTGTGTGTGTGTGTGCGTGTGTGTGTGTGTGCTGTATATGTGCACGCGCGCGTGCGCGCAGTGTTTATATAATCTGGGGGAGAGAAAAAGGACCCGTGCCAATACTTTTAAAATGCGAAGACTCTGAGGAGAGATTGAGAAAAGCAGCAATTTAAAGGATGTTGGCATAAATATCTAGCAGGAGGCCCAGAGCAACCCCAGGTGTGGAAGAAATCTAGTAGTGGCTCTGCAGAGGAGCCAGCCCCTGCCTGGACCGGACCGGAGGGCCAAGGGCAGCAGACGCTTTTTGCGCCCAAATCGGCTCCCCCTGGCACGGCCCCGGAGGATCTGCCTCCTGCGCTTCCCGCCCCCCCCCCTTCCTGGTCGCGGAGCCGCGCGGGTGTGGAGAAGGGCCGAGCCGAGCTCACTCCGCCCTGCAGGGTGGCTGACAGGCGGCGGCTCCTCGGCTCCTCGCGGGGCGCTGCTGGGGCTGGGGCTCAGTGTAGGGTCCCCAGTGGCCTGGCGACCCTAAGAGGGAGCCGCCAGGGAAACTGAGGGAGCGCGAGCGGGTGGCATAAGGCACAGACCCCTGCGGCGCACACCACACTCTTGCCGCCCAAGGAACAGCTGGGCACCTCCGCTCCGTAAGGCCTGTGCCTTTGAAAGAGCGCCTCTCTTCCCAGAGGGACAGCGGTGCTGGGGCCATGGGATGGGTCCTGGGCCGGGGGAGAGGGGTTGACCTAGGCGGGCGCCTTTCTAGATGGGCTGTGCTGAATGAACTCTGGCCGCCTTCGCTGCAGAGGGCACCAGCTGCGGCTCCAGCAGGGCGCCGCGAGCAAGGCCCTGGGCAGGACAAGTTGATGGACCAGATGTCCTAGACTCAAGCCGAGACAGTTTTCTGAGAGAAAATACAGCCAGACCCAATTTTCCATTCAGAAGCATATCTCAGCTCCTTGCCTGGAAGCTTAATAAACAAGCAGGGCCTTGGCTATTGAGGCGTTTGGATGCGGGATTGGAGTCAGTGGCTATGAGACTATTTGAAACTTGTTTTTTTTCTGCTCATTACCTCCCACCACCATTTCTAGGCTTTGGCTCTATTTTAGGTACTCTTGCATATTCCCTTTTCTTTGATCATGGAACTCTTTGTCCCCGAGTGTCTCCCCTCTGCATTGCTTCCCCAGTTACCCCCTCCTTCCTCAGCAGGCCACAGAGCCTTCAATGTGCAGCAAAAAGGTGAGATTCCACCTGGGCTCTTTTTTGAGGCTGTTATTCCTAGCACCCTACATTTTTTGATTTTGAAAATGAAGAATGCTAAAAAATGCTAAAGTATTGAAAAGGTTAAAGTGCATGTCCCTCAGAATTAGGAGATAATGTACATTCATTTTATCAGTACTAAATTCAGTGATTCCTCACATACAGGCTATGCCTTGAATTTACATACACGGAGTGGCCAGATTATTATGCCTTCAAAGATCATAATAATCTGGCCACTTGGTGTGTGTGTATATATATTTGAGGCCCAGTGCATGAATTCGTGCATAGGTGGGGTCCGGCCAACTTGGCCAGGAGGAGGGGACACTTTGCATATTAGCCTTTTATTATATAGGATGTGTTCAGAAATCATAATAATCTGGCCACTCAGTGTATATTCAAGGAAAACTAAGGCTTGCCCCACAGCCAGCTTTTGAGCCATACTTATGCAGAGCAGGAAACTTTAAATTGCATAGGAACCATGCCAAGATTCAGGTCTGGAGAGGGGCCTGCATTCTGTATACATAATAAGCTCCCAGGGGGCCCAGTGTTCCTGTTCCAGGCAGATCACACTGAAGATTGAGGCTGGAACTTTCAATGCCCCCATACTAGTCTAAGAGAAAAGCAATACTGTTTGTTCTAGTGTTTTTTTTTTTAAACATATTTTATTGACTTTTGTACAGAGAGGGAGATAGAGAGTTAGAAACATCAATGGGAGTCATTGACCAGCTGCTTCTTGCACACCCCCTACTGGGGATATGCCTGCAACCAAGGTACATGCCCTTGACCGTAATCGAACCCGGGACCCGTCAGTCCCCAAGCCGACGCTCTATCCACTGAGCCAAACTGGTCCCGGCGTTTGGTGCTACTTTAATGTTTAGTACACGGGTAATGATGGTCACACAAACACATGCACACCTGAAAAGTGGCTCATTGAACTTGTGATTCAATAAGTCATTTCCATGCCTAAGGGTCTGTGCCATCAGGCTGCTGCTAAAATAGCGATACATTAGGAGACAAAGGTGTATCCAATGAGTATCTTTTTTGGGCATCCTAATCTACAAAGAAAATGTAGGTTTGGGATAGGGAAGGGATTCTGATGTTTTGAAATTGGGAATGTCTCCAACATGAGCCAAGTGAGAGAAAGTGGTATGTGGCTGTGGAGAGCCCAGGAAGATGAGGTGATCACATAAAAGGAAAAAAAGACAAGACTCCTGTAAGTTTTCTCAGCCACCACACTCACTCAGGAGGTATTTACAGGGGGCTTAAGTGGAGCAAAAAAAAAAAAAAAAAAAAAGGCATTTCCAAACAGAATGTTGAGAATAGTCATTGCATCACTGAGGCCTTCTTCTGAGAACATACTGTACAATAGATAGATAAATAAATAAATAATCTGACTGGTTCTAATGAAGAGTATCTGTGAAATAAGTCATAGCACCTTATTTATGTAAAGGGGAAAATCACATATCCAAAAAAAATAGTCCACACACATTTACATAAAGCAAAAGGAGAACTTCCATTTATACTTTAATTACAAGTGATTAGTTGTATGCCAACAATTAATACATATTACATGTCCTACATAAAATATACTACCATCGCATTTAAAAGAAACTACATGAAAAGCAAGAAATGTTCAGAATATCTCTTATTCCACAAAAAGAGAGACTGAAAAATATTCCACTTTTAGTTTCTGCTAACTTCTCATTAGGCAAGCCGTAAGAGCCTCGAATGTTCAAATAGGACAAAAATTCTATCTACCCCTTCGTTCATGCCACCCCTAGTAAGCCTAAATTCTAAGTGCCCAAGTAAAACCTCCTTTAGACATTTTTGCTGTATTTTCATAAAAGGTACAGATAAGAATTAAGTCTTTGTCTCCATATGTTTTCCAGCACCCTTTGGGATACCCAATATGGTGCTGGACCATGAGTATTTGGGGCTGAACTTAGAAGCAAGTTGTGGGATAGGGTCATCTACAAAAATTGCCATTAGTCAAATTTTTGTCTGTAACAGAGTATTTCTGTTAGAGAGGAGAGAAAATAGTAACAAAATTATTGCTTATGTGCTCATTATATTAAATTCACATTATGGCTACTCTTCTATGTTTTTAAATATTTTTAATGATTTCAGAGAAGGGAAAGGGAGAGATAGAAACATCAATGATGAAAAAGAATCACTGATCAGCTGCCTCCTGCATGCCCTACACTGGGGATCGAACCTGCAACCCATGTATGTGCTTTGATGGGGAATCGAAATGTGACCTACTCATAGGTTAATGCCTAGCCACCACACCACATAGGCTGGGCTATTTTTCTCATTTCTTAAGACATTACACAGTAAACCTTCTATGTCTAGTGGAATTTGCAGCAGGCAATTCCCACAAAATTTCAACATGATTGGTGGATTGTACTTTTTAAAAAATGATAGTTTACATCAAAATTGCCCATTCTTCAATGCACTCTTCTGAAATCCTGATTGTTAACAAGATATATTGTTTATACAATATTGACTTGTGACAATACTTTAAATGAAAGATGTCAGAATTTTTCTGCATTAGCCACTAATGAGGTAGCCACTCAGAAGTTTTGTTATCACAATGATGTTTTATGTGTTATAAAAATCTTAAAATGCTCAGAGAAGCATATCTTACTATGACATTTCTAAAGCACTGTCAAATGTTACTCTGTCAATCCCACCCAGTGCCAAAAAGACCTCAGGAGACATAGATTGTAAATGTACTTTATTTTGTAAGCAACAATCAAAATATATTTGTGTTACTGATTTCTTCAAATATTAAATGGGATTTTAACAAAATTTGTCCACTTTGATGTATTATATAACTTTGGAATCGGCAAAGACCCTGACTAAAGAAACAGAAGTAATTGCACAACTGAGACTGAAGGTGTTACAGTGCTGCAAATGATGCCAGATGTCTTACATTTAACCAAATACACCTTCAGAGGTCCCTTGATTTGGAGCGGCAGGAACAATAGAGTAATGTACACTGAAAGTATCACTAAAAGCTTTCTGTACTGCTTTATTTAAATACGACAGTATCCAACATAGCTGCTAAACACTGGACAATATTTGAAGTCATAAGTACATCCACATGTTCCTCCAAATGACGTTTGGGGTCCTGAAAGAAAAAAGAAAAAATAAAAGAAAGAAAAAAGAATCATATTACTGTTAGACAAATTAGATTTTTTTCAGTAGCTAATGAAATTCAGTCAAAAAAGCCAAACCTAAATTGATATATATTTTACAATTTAATCTTCCTAATATACTGTTACCTTTTTAGGATTTCTACATCTGTTAAAAATTTAACTGATAAAAAATAATAGATTACACAATGAAAGACTGACTTACACATTGAATACTATAACTCTGTTCCAAAGCTTAAAAGGAGAAACAAAATTCTATACAGCCTGCAATATTCAATTAAAAAGTACAAGCATTTATATGTGTGTATCAAACCTGAGTATGTGTGTATATTTTCTGCCATGCACATATACTGAATGCCTGAGTGGTACTTACTCAAAGCAGACATATCAAAGTTAAGGGTTCAAAGTGAATTCTCATCATGTCCTCTAAAATTTAAATTTAATTCTTGTATGATTTTAATATTCAGGAAACAGTGCTTTAAGTGATTCAGGAAATATTCTTGAGTCAAAAGTCACTGTTAGTAATTTTAAATTTTAAATACAATTTGGATCAATTATAAAATGTCAAGAATAAATCTTTCATGCACCTGTTTTGAAAAAAAAAAGTGTATAGGTACAATCCTTTAACTTAACCTTGATCTAATCTACATTTGAAATGTCTGAGTTAAAAAAAGGTTAAAATTGCATTGTAGTTAGTCCTGGCCAGTATGGCTCTATTGTCCCATGCACCAAAGGATTGCCAGATCAATTCCCTATCAGGGCACATGCCCGGGTTGTGGGATCAATCCCTGATGGGGGCCATCCAGGAAGCAGCTGATTGATGTTTCACTCTAATATTGATAATCCCCTCTCTCCCTTCTTCTCTCTCTAAAAATCAATAAAAATATATTTTTAAAAACAACCTAAAAATTGCATTTTAGTAAGGGAAGATAAAATTTTAATTTATATTTATGTTTGTTTAATGATGAGCTGAATGAAGTATTTCAGCTAAAACCGAAAGCTTTGAAATAAAGGCTACTTATTGTACACAATAAAAATATTCTAATTAAAGCATTATTTTCTTATGAGTATTGCTAAAATACCCGACTCCTAACTTTAAACAAATGTTCATCACTAGAATTATTTCTTGACTGTTCTCTTCTAAACTACAATTTCAAAGTACCTGATTTCTTTAAACAACCCAGAGATACAACATGCTAAAGTAATTTCAAGTAACTAGACTACAATATTAAATTTCTATACTTCAGAAATAAGACCTAGAGCGTTTTAGGTGAAAGAGACTAAAAAAGACTGGCAGGAGAAGCCGATTATTGGTCTAATTCCAATACAGACAGTTTTGCTTTTGCTGTGCAATAGGCCAAACCAGCGAAGTACTCTGTTTTAAAAATGATTCTGATGATTATTACACTTTGCCAATTATATGTTTAATTTAGTCCTTTTATTTACTGCTAATTATTATATAAAACCTACACATCAAGAAACTACAGCTTCAGAGTTATTAAAAAAAAAAAAAAAACTCCAGTTACTAAATTTTATAGTGTGCAGTCTCCAAGTTTGTGATTTAATATATATTAGATGAAAATAAGTAGTAGGCAAAGACAAGGGATGACCATATCCCTAAGATGAAAGAATAAGATTAACCATTTTTCATTTTTGTTTTGGAAGGTTTTTATTGTTTTAAAATTTTAATATTCAGAATGTAGTGGGATTTAATTTCATCACTGTGATATTTTTTAAGTCAGACCTTTGCCCCTACTGCTCTATTGGAGTAACTGGTTTTGTAGTGAATTGGTAACACACTTCCCGCAGTTATCTACATTACTTCTTGTGGCAGCTGGGTGATTCTTAGAGATTTCCCATCCAAGAATGGTCCTGGCCCAAACCTACATAGCTTGTGAGATGTGATGGGATCAGAGCATATGGTAGGATGGCTGCAAGCAAAGACAGCTTAGTGTCTTGCATCTGAAATATCAAGATTCTGCCAACATCAGCAATATGATAACCATGTTCCATGAAATGAAAAAAATGTAATCAACATTCTTTAAAAAACAGTCTAATTAATCTGTAGATTCTTTTAATTGGTTGGTGTGCTCTCCCCAATCCTTAGGAAAAAGGAATTTAAAATATATATTTCATATTAGAAAAGTGAAAGAGCAAATACTTAAAACCCTTTCTCGTCACTCAGTATAATCCAATAGAGCTCTAAGCTTTCTCAGGAATAGTACCTACATATTGCTAAACTATATCGTTAAAAAAAACGATTACATATGAAATTAATTTACCATTCTATTATCTTCAATGTTATTATTATTTCAAGTAAAAATAATACTTAAAAATTAACTCAGGACACAAGTTTCCTAATTTATTTCTAGTAAGATATTTTCACTAAAGATCTCACAGGCATATTTATGATTTACCATTCTTAAGGTGGCACAGAGAGTATGACATTGAATAATTCAATGATTTTAAAATTAGTGTCACATTTACATGACAGAAGAGAAATGTAGAATGAACAGACTGGGGTGGGGAATAGGCGCTAAAATAGTTTTAACTCTACTATTTATTTAGCGTGTTATTATGCTGCTGTATAACCTATTACAGTACACCTCACCTGCTTGCCAACATTCTTTATTGCCAGCTGTTCAGGTGTCATCTTATCTTCTTCTTCTACAGCCTGTGAATGAAACACAAAGGACAGAGTTTCAAATCCTAAGTTTAGTTTTCCCATTGCAGAATCATCACCAAAGATAATGGCTATCATAATTTTCATTCATAGGACCTTTTATTAAAGAATTTACTGAACAAAAATGCAATTTTACTAATCTTAAGAATATGCTTCAGGGTAATGAAAACTATTTTAATTATCACTATCATTTTGACAACAAATTTTAGGAAATACGTAAAAGGCACTGAAAATACCAAACTGGACCACCAGTTAACTATTTGTAAACTATTCTGGAATTCTTTGAGGGATGGCTAAAATGGAGGATAAGAAATACATCAGATAAACTCTTGGTCTATGATTTATTCATAGTATTTGATAAATGGAAAACTAAGAAAATTTAAGGCTCACCCACCTTTAGAAAGAACACCATAGCACGTACTACAAATATGGTTACAAAAGAAAATGAGATGGTGGTGGCAGAAAGCAGGAAACCAAAAAATCCCAGTGAGGTTTAGATTTGGATACTCTAACTTAATAATCTTGCAGCTGCCAAATTTCTTCATGTGTGAACAATGAACATGTAGGAAATGCAATCATCAGACATTTCCCATAAACTGGGAAGTTTGGCTGCATTTCACACCTTCTTAATAGTTTTGTAAACAGAGAACTTGAAAATGAGCAAAGATGGCAAGTGTCTAATTTTATAAATGGACAAACTATCTAGAGAATTTCCCTGGTAGAACCTGCCTACAAGAAAAGATGGCAAATAAGTATTGTACTCACTGATTATTACAGTATACTTATTTACAATGCATCATTAGGAAATACACTTATGACTGATAAAACGGCAAAAAAGGAGAAATAAAGATTACACTCCAAATCTAGAATTCCCTAGATAGAGAATATGTTCATTTTCAGAGTCAGATGCCACTCATATTATTCTCAGCTAGTTAAAAAACTATTTCCTAACTGGTAAATTGCTTCTACCTTAATGTTTTCCATACATGAATACACTGCAACACATAAAATTTGTCCTCAATTACTTTTACAATTATGACACTATACCTTACCGACTGACTTGAAAACATATTAGATGAATGGAACAATTCACATAAGTTTGTACTCTATATCCATTCAGTGTTAGCTGCTCTATGCTCTGCCAAGAACAGTACTTTACAGTACTGAAAGGAGGCAAGAGTTTTGGAACTTGGCTCAAAATACCAATCCCTGTACAAAATAATTATTTATGGAGTATTTTGGGGTATTGCAAATATTGAACATGGCAGATACATAAAGATGAAAGTCAAACGTCATTTAAAGAATTGACCCTATATGAAAACTTAAGTAGGATGCAAAAACTCAATTTTAAAAATCTTCTACATCATGTAACAACTTTACCAATTAGTTTTTTCCATTTCCAATAATTAAAATAGAGAGTTCACAAACTCTTTGAGAAGTGCAGATGGTAAAAAGTACTCCCAGCCATAGATGCCATCTGGAAAATGAGGAGCAGCTGTAGATTTAGGCATATACTAAGGTTGCAAACTTCCATGACAAAAGAGTAATAAGCACATCTCTTCTATTCTAAGATAGAACCAGATTACCACATCAAACCCCTAAAATATTTTCTCCATCTACCTAAGTTAACCTACATTTCATCTACCATTTGGGCAAGGCCGGTTCATCTTCATTCATAATTCTAATCTGGCAAGTCACCAGGAAAAATTAAGAAATGGTAGCAGCAGAAACAAATGAAATTCAGGCACAGGCAGTGTCCTCACTAGGGGAACTTCTGTGTTTATGGCAACTTCTGTGATTTGGCATCAAATTTTGCTTTTGCATTTGTGCTCTTCGGTTTACTCAACCAACAAAAAAGCACTGAAAATGTTTGTGGCTATTCACACTAGAAACGTTTTTAACAGTTTATCAACAAAGACCCCCAGATGGCTATCCCATCATGCACGGTCTGCACAGTTCTAAGAAATTCCTGGAATTTGGTCTGTTATGTTATCACAATCCCCTCAGACGTACCCCTGATCTCAAAGAGGCTTTTACAAAACCCATTAACCTTGTCCTCTTTTTTTCTTTTTGATAATGGTCACATTTTTCAAGTGGAAAACCTGTACCTCAAATTCTACCATTTATTTATCCTTTAACAAATATGGATTTGTATCTCTGGTACCTCATTAACAGTCTTTTAAGACTCTCCACAAAGTGAGCTCCATGGACTCAGTTTTCTTGAATTTTATGAACACCTTAGAGCTATTCCAACACATTTTCTCTTCTACTCTTTTAACCTCTGCTTTTATGACAATTCATATTTCTGTAACTATTCCCTGGGCTTCTTTTTTTCCCTTTGATATGTTAAGTTTGTTTACTCTCTAACATGTCATAATCCCATTTAAAGTACATGTTTTCTAAAATCACCTGCTTAGTATTTTTCAATATTAAACAGTCTCTGCTAGTGGATTTTACTTCTTCCTTGATTTTTATATCAAGTCAAGATATTGGCTGTTAACTGAAAGACACATTATGGGTTTGGGGGTAGAAAATAAGATTCAAAAGTAGTTTTTATAAAACATACATGGGAAAATAAAAGTATCAATTATATAAAAAAAAAAATCCAAGAAAGTATAAGAGGTATGAGTATGGAGAACAATACAACTGGTTTCCTAGAACTATAAGGAATTAAATATTAACATACATATGCTTCACAAATATTAATTTACTAAATTTTTAAAATATCCCAGTGAAGTAGTTAGTCCACATTTTATATATGAAGATATTATGCACTAATTATTGGGAGAATCATATGTCAATTCCAGTAATATTTATACTATAAAATATTTTTCCAATTTCCGTTTTGGAATAGCTTATACCATTTGAGTACATTCTATGCATGTCTTCAACAGAATTTTTACCATCTTATACATTCAATAATCAAGTACTCTGAATAAGGCAATTCTTCCTCTTTAAGGAGCTCACATTTGGGCTTTACTTGCCTGGTGAGTCTCAAATTTTGAAAGCAATGTGAAATATATAAAAAAGGAGTGTGCACAAAGAAATATGGGGATACATATAACCATACAGCCGATAAACAATGAAACTGTGACTTAAACACAGTCTTATCAGTTTCCAAAGACCAAAACACATTCATAGTGATTAAGAAAATTAGTACTTTTTAATGACACATCCTGAATAGTAACAAAGCTAAATCCATAATTTATTAAGTGGCCATTACCAGCATAAAAAAGTCTAAAACAAAAAAAAAGTATTTCTAAAAATCCTATAGACAATCCAATTTTAAAATGTAATCACATAAAAAAGGGATATGAAACGAAGGGGTGTGTGTGTGTGTGTGTGTGTGTGTGTGTGTGTGTGTGTGTGTGTGAGAGAGAGAGAGAGAGAGAGAGAGAGAGAGAGAGAGAGAGAGAGGTTATAGTCCAGCTTTTTGGAAAAAAAAAAATTCTATGGCAGAGCTTACTAATTACCTATTCAATATAAATCTTCCCTTTCTTCTTTTGTAATGGAACCCTGATTTTATAAAGGTAGAAATGCTCCCAGGAGAAGACTGAATTATAAAGCCTTCCTCAAAACAAGGGGTGTTCAAGTTTTCTACCACTGAGATATAATCAGAAGTGCCGGATAAGACTTACGGAAGGGATTCTGAGAGGGAACTGATTTAGCTGGGAGGTATCCCTCTTTGCCATTTTTTTTTTTTTTTCATTTGAAAGGAAATTTTCTACATACAATTTTAATTTTCTTTTAAAAATATTTTTTATTTATTTTTACAGAGAGGAAAGGAGAGGAATAGAGTTACAAATATCAATCAGCAGCCTCCTGCACACTCCCTACTGGGGATGTGCCTGCAACCAAGGTACATGCCCTTGACTAAAATCAAACCTGGAACCCTTCAGTCCGCAGGCTGATGTTCTATCAACTGGACCAACCTGGTCAAGGCCAATTTTAATTTTTTTGATTACTTAATAAGGTTGAACCTTTTTTTTTCTTTCATGTTTATATGCCATTGTCTTCAGAGTTTCCTAGCTCTTTTGTCCAATTTATTATTTTTTTTAATAACTATTTTACAAGAATTCTTTAAATAATATGCAATTTTTGGATACCAGCATTTGCATGGTTAGCAGCTACATAAATCTAGATCATAATTACATATTTTTAAAAAATTTATTGATTGATTTGAGAGAGGAAGGAAGAGAGAAAAAAAAATCAATTTGTTGCTTCACTTATTTATGCATTCATTGGTTGATTCTTGTATGTTCCCTGACTGGGGATCGAACCCACAACCTTGGGACGATGCTCTAAGCAACTGAGCTACTCAGCCAGTGAATTCTAACAGAACTCTAATTTAGTCTGTTAGATTTCTATGTTTGTTTGCAAACATACCCTATTATACTTAAATAACGATAATCTGACCTGGTTTTTCCAATACTTATATCTTACTTTGTTTTTCTAATCTTATTGCAGTAGCACATTTTCATTTTTAATATAGTGAATGTAGTAAATCAAATATAATTATATAATTACATATTTTATATGCAAATACATAAAAGATATATCCAAAATTTATTTAAGGTTCTAAGTAGGCAATATTTCTGCCTGAAAAGCAAACTGTCAGAACTCAGAATTTACAGGACTACATGAATGAAAACATGGTAAATTTTTATGTACCTATGCTATTCTTAAAATGCTTTTATCATTCATTTATAAATATCCAATAAAATAGCAAAATCTTAAAAATGTATGCTCCTGGCATGAATTAGGAAATTTGGACTGAGTGGTGGGTAATGAAGTTCAATAATTAGAGAAATCAATGACTAATATAATAAACAAGCAGAATCTGAGTATGGAATTCAGACTTAAAACTGAAAAGTTGGAACAAAGGAATTTAATTATTTTCTAACCTCCTTTTACTTCAGGAGCTCACTGGAGCCTAACAATAATTACCTTAATTTAAAACACCAAGCAATTAAAAAGAATACTAAAAAAAAAAAAAAAAAAAAAAAATAAGGTAGCCCGGGCCTTTCTTTTTATATTTTAAGTGTTACTAAAAACTCCACCACATTCTCTTTCAATCACAGAGGGAATTACATTTCCAAATTTGGACTCCTTCATATCACAGTTTACACATTGTTTTCATTTTAAAACTAAAACCTTACAAGTTTTTGAGTACTACAGAGATTTTTTAAAAACTGTAAAATAGCAAAAAACTTCTATGGATGGGCAGCAGTAACCATAAATAGGTTATTTCCTGGCAGTGGTACCAATGTGAATTTACTTAAACTTGTAACGTTACAGAGAAATGAAAATCATTCCTACAGTCTGCTGAATAATGACTTTCAATAACTTTTTCATTTATAACAGGTAAACTGTTTCAAATATGATAAATGATTCTTTATTCTTCACAGCATAAAAATATATACTAGAAAGATAAGCGTATTTTCCTTGTAATCTAGAAGCATAGGGGATTTCCAGCTTGAACACTATATATAAATCAGGGCATGCTCTTCAAAACCAAACCTAAGTCTGCTGAAATTTAATTTGTATGGGCACAGCAACTTTTTTCAAAAATCAAATCTCTCAAAAGACACTGCTACACTTGGCAAATTTTAAATACTGGCCCCTGGTTAATATATATTTTGAGAAGATATGTTTAATTTTAAAAAGAGAAATACTACTTTTTTTTTTTTTAAGGATTTATTTATTGTTGCTAGTTTTTTCTTTCTTTTTTAAAAAAAATATATTTTATTGATTTTTCACAAAGAGGAAGGAAGATAGAGAGCTAGAAACATCGATGAGAGAGAAACATCAACCAGCTGCCTCTTGCACACCTCCTATCGGGGATGTGCCAGCAACCAACGTACATGCCCTTGACCGGAATCGAACCCGGACCTTTCAGTCCGCAGACCGACGCTCTACCGCTGAGCCAAACCGGTTTCAGCAGAAATACTATTTTTTGATGTGATAACCAATATAAATCTAGCCCCTACAATTAATTTGTAGTCCTACATTTCTGCGTATTTAAAATGCAACTCTTATCTCCTTTCTCAATCCTTTCACTTCTACCCAAATTGGGACTGTTAATAGTACCATCATAGTTCTAGCCATCTAGGCAGGAAACCTTGAATTCAACTTTAATTCCTCCTCCTCCTTTCATTTCATCTACCAAATGGGTGCCATGTTTTATTTGTCGACTGATGCCTTCATTCCCGCTGCCACTACGATAATTCAGATAGGTAGTCCCTTTTGTCTGGGTAACAGCAAGCTCCTCCTAAGTAGAATCACCATTTACAGCACCCCTTTTCCTATCCCATTTTCAAATGTGCTTCTCAACCTTGTTTCTAAAGTCAGGTTCTGGATATATCATGCCCATGATAAAAAGTAACTTTATTCTGCCCAGCTGGAGTGGCTCAGTGGTTGGGCATTGACCTATGAACCAGGTGGTCTTGGTTTTATTCCTGGCCTGGGCATATGGCCAGGTCTGCGGGCTGGATCCCCAGTGGGGGGTATGCAGAAGGCAGCAATCAGTGATTTTCTCTAATCATTGATGTTTCTATCTTTGTGTCCTTCACCCTTCCTCTCTGAAATCAATATATACTAGTATATAAAAAAAAACAACCCTGCATCCTGATACCCTGCTACTTGACTCAATAACTTTAAAAACACTTTAATACACATTATCACCTTCATGTATTCCATACTCGAGCCAAACAGGTTCTAAAACATGTCCTAGCCTTTTCTGTCCTTCCTAGTCTTTGCCTGTGATGTTCCTTTTGCCTAGGGTAACATTTCTCTGTATGTCTAAATCTTACTTATGCTTTAACATCGAGTTCAAATGTGGTTATCATCTAAGACAGCCTCCTGGGTCACCCATAGCTAAAAGCAAGAGCCTCTGAACTTCTGCAGTGCTTTACATGGAATGGCAGTGCTCTCTAACTCCCAGCTTGAGAGTCTACAATCTCCTAGAAATCTTAGTAAAATGTGGACTGTGATTCAGTAGCTCTGAGAGTCTGCATTTCTAAGAGCCCAGGTGATACTGATGCAGTTAGTCTGTGGACAATTTGAATATTAAGGTGTTACAGAATACACTAATTTTGACCTGGTATTCTGGTTATCATTTTTTCTTGCTGCCCCTATTTTCCTATTAGTGAAGGAAGGTGTTTTCCATTCCAACTTATATAGGAGTTATGCAATAAATATTTATAAACACATCATTGTATAATGTGTATATGTGTATACTGTGTATTTTCAAATTCTAGATTTTCAACACATTAGTGGGATATAAGCTATATGTATTTGTGTGTAATACTTCTGTGTATAATTGAAACAGAATAAAATTTAGTCAAATGAAAAAGAAAATAGAATGTATCACATAATAAGGGTAAATACTGTTTCATAACACTTTTTTGCAATTATATAAATGCAATTTATACACACACACATTTGCATTATACTAAATCAAAACATAAAACCTGTTCTGTATGTGGCTTTGATTAAAAACCTGAAAATACATGTTATAGATTGAATCACATCCCCCAAAAGACATGAGGAAATCCTAACCCCAGAGATTAAAGTTATGCTGCCCCAAGCCAAAGGGGCTAACAGAAGCTGAAAGAAAGCAGGATCCTTCCCTAGAGACTTCAGAGGGAGGGTAGCCCAGCCAAGACTTTGATTTGGGACTTCCAGCCTCCAGACTGTGAGGGAATAAATCTGTTGTTTTAAGACACCAGTAAATGGTAGTTTATTAGGACAACACTAGGAAACTAACACAATGCAGAAGATACATTTTTGTCATAGCTCAAGTATTTTCTTTAATTTCGAAATTATAACAGAAAATAAAACAATGAACAAAAACATCATGGCCGCATATACTTAGCCCACAATCTAAAAACAGAGACATTCATAAAATAAATTTTATATGGCAAGTATTAAGATATAATATCTTATTGTTCCCCTTTCCTTCTAGCAAAAAGTCATATGAAAATGAAGAGACTTCAAATGTAAAATTATTTTAACAAGTCTACAGAAGCAATGGCACACTATTGCCCATGGGCCAAACCTAGCCGGCTGCCTGGTTGGTTTGTAAAGTTTTACTAGAACACAGCCCCACTCCTTCCTCTATGAGCTCCTGCGCTGGAAGAGCAGAGTAGAGTAGTTGTGACAAATCCGATGGCTGCAAAGCTTAAAGTATTTACTATCTGATCTACAAGTGAGGCCACTCTATTTTAACTAATTACATTTATACAATGCTTGACATGTAATCATACATATTCCAAAGACTATAAGAAATAAATGTTGGCAGTAACTTTTACCTTATTGTAATTCTTGGCTAATTCCAACATCTCTTTTACCACTGATTCATTGTGTTTACAGTGTTCACTGTAGTCCTGAAGTGTCAAACCTTCCATCCAACTCTTCTTATGCAAATTTAGCAACATCTAAAAAATATAAAGAAAAAAACCATAATTTTCTTATAGGAGAATATGTCCTTCATTTATCTTGAGAACAATTTCACAAAAATGTTTGGAATTAATGAATTTAATTTTATTAACTTAAATAAACTCTAATAAAAATTCTCCTAAATTTATATAACTCAAGAAGTACTCTAGCCCCATTGACTTTTTATTTGCTCTTTTTCTGCCTCAAAGACTATTTTCCTCATCTTTGTATGGCTCACCTGCCTCACTTTCTTAGTGATAGGTGCCTTCACTAACCATGCGATAAAAAAAGCCCACCCACACTATCTTAAATATCTTTCTTGCCTTAACCTGCTTTATTACTTTTATAACACCATCAACATATAAAATTTTTCTTTTCTTTTTTTTCTATATTTATTTTAGTTGAATTTATGAGAGTTACATTGGTCAATTATATAGATTCTAAGAACAATTTTATAATACACTGGTGGCCCAGTGCACAAATTCATGCACATTGAAAGGAAATTAATTAGAACACTGTACTATTGCTATTCACCCTTTCTCTATAGATAGAAGAGTCAACCAAATTCATGATTGACAATGACAGATCAAAACACATGCGTGTGATTGGCACCAGTGAGAGCTTTATATGTATCATGCATGAGCAAGTCAATTTAGCCTTTAATCTATACTAATAAAAGGGTAATATGCAAATTGGTCAGGAGGCCCTCATAGTAATGAGTGAACAACAGGCTGCATGGGGCAACAAGGCCAGCAGAGAAGGTTAGTGAGAGACGACCAAACGACTGAACAGCAGGCTGCATGAGGCGACCAGACCGGCAGGAGGAGCAGTGAGGGGCGACCCAACAGCTGGCTGAATAGGGCGACCAGGCTGGCAGGAAGGTGAAAGGTCCCATTTACTGAATGACTTTGTGTCAAACTTTCTGAGTTTCAGTTTATATAATTTATTAATTGAGGGCTTAAATTAGATAATCTCTAAATTTCTTTCAAATTCTAACATTCTATTTATAATTTTAAAAATAAACAAATTATACTTTTAATTCTGACAATTAAAAGTTCTTAATTGTCAGAATGGAAAGTCATGACATTGGGAAGGAAATGAGAAATTCATCCACTTTGCAATCACATTAGCAAATTGGGATCAGATCCTATGAATGATCATGAAATTAAACACCCTAGTTCATTGTTTTCCTAACTGGACTCCTACTTCTGAGTACATATTCTTGGAAGTTCTTAAGTTCTCAAGTTTTCAGTCTTAAGATAGTTTTTCTTAAAGTCTTACTCTAAAATTGTTCTTCATTTGCAGCTACCATTGAATAAAAGTTTTTTAAATGATTAATATCATTATCCAATGTGAAAACAAAAATGGTGACTACAGAATGATTATTGTTGAGCCAGTGTATTTAAATGAGATCCATGAGCCATAACATTTAAAGACACAGTTAGAAAAACTACTCTACCCATTTAGAGGTTTGCAATCACCCATGGCACAAAGTTCTTTTTATGCTGGAGAAGAAACCACATGTCAAAATCATTTGAGACTTTGAAAGAAATAAAATCTCCAAATTCCTCCATATAACTCCTATGGTCTAAGGGAGCAAAGAAGAATAGTTTTGGGGGGAGGGGGGATTTCTGGAAAATTCCTGCACAAGGAGCTCCAATTTCTTTGGTTTCTTCCTATCTTTGGCACTGATTTTAAATGTAATTAGTTGAATTATTTCTAAAAGTTGGATATAAGATATCAAGACTGATAAACTACTTATATATCTGAATGTATTTTCCAGTTTGTGTTTAAGGAGTGCCCCCTTTCACAGCAGGTTGCTATTCTATGCAAAAGTAAAAATAACTGATGAACCTCTGATACAGCCTGACTCCAAGGCTTGTCATACTGAGATGTATGTTTGGAGCAGTGAATATGTGATCTGTTCAACTGTTTTCTCATGGAATTAACCCTTAGTGTGTACAATATTTAGAAAGTTTAATATAAGCTCTGATTTGGTCTGTTGAATCTTAGAGAAATATATATGAAGGAAAATGTTAAATGTAACCAATCTTTGAACGCTTTAACTTTTAAAATTGCAAATGCTTTGTATTTCTCTATTTTCTAAGGAATGATAAACTTTTTAAATGTAAAAATTTAAAAAAAAGTGATGAAAATGTACTTCAAACTATCAACTAAATCTACCATAGCAGCTTTGGCTGGTGTGGCTTAGTTGTCTAGAGTCGTGCTGTACATCTTAAGGTTGCCAGTCCCACTCCATCAGGGCACATACCTAGGTTGTGTGTTTGATCCCCTGTCAGGTAATGTACTATAGGCAACTGAGTGATGTTTCTCTCATACATCAATGTCCCCCCATCCCTCCTTCCTTCTCTCTAAATTAAAAATTATATTAAATTAAATTAAAATCTAGCTCTAAGTATCTAAAAACCTCAAACTGCATTTCCATTTTAACTCACCTTTAATTCACCCTAGGTATACATGATACTTTTTAAAAAGTAGTACACAATTATAATCTAATTTAATCCTTTCCAATGCGGAAAAATGTTCAGTATTTATTGGAGAAGACAAATTATTTTGTTGGAGAAGACAAATTAACCAGAAAAATCACAGAACTAGGGGTTTTTATAATTTATCATAAAACCAAACTGAAACATTTATTTCCCACTTTCTCTCCCACCTTGGCACCCAACAATAAGGTAAAATATCTTCCAATATAATCCAATAAAACATTCCTTTCTTTTACTAGTATGTTAGAATTCATCAGGAATAAAAAAAATATTTGGAACACTTCCATGAAATAGGTCAAGAATTCAAATTCAAATGTACCAGGTCGTAATTTAAATGGTATGAAAAAGACATTTTATTCTCCTCTATAACATAAAAACTTAAACTTACCTTCTGTTCTAGTTCATTTTTCCGATAGTTAATAGTAATAGAGTAATAATGTCTGTTTAGTCCATGAATTAATGCCTATATAGACAAATGATTTGAAAAAGGACAAATTAATATTTTTCACTTATTAAAATAAATACAACTGTCTGAAACTGTTAACATATCCTATAGACAATATCTTCATTATCTTCTAAAAAAGGCATTTTATCCTAGTGAAGAGTAAATTATTTTTTCTCTGAGCTACAAGTTCAGAATAAGGTTTATAGGTATGGGTTACACATTCTTCAAAGCATGATCTAGAGCAGCACAAACTCAACAGTTTCAGTAGCTTTGTTCAATCAGAGATAGGATTTGACCTCATCATAATCTAAATTAGACATTAATTATTCATAACTTATTAAGCCTAATTTTCTGATAGTTTTGCGGACCTTCGTATTTCAAAATTAAAGCCTAAGAAGTAATAATAAGATACTTATTTCTTCACACACAATATTAATGTGGGATCTCCCTTCTTCTTAATTCAGCTCTAACAGATTCAAATAATTGTGTTCCCACATGTCTCCCAATGAACAAAGTAGTTTGTCTTACTAGGTCTATTTAGCTCATGCTCAATCTCACTAACCAGATATCCCTTAACTGCACTTGATCTCCAAGACAAACAGGCAAATCGTAATAAAAATTAAATTAATGGCATAGCTTTATTAAGAAACAATAACCCTGCTTGTGCTAGAATCCATTCACAACTGCTCAAATATCTAAATCCAGCCAAAAAAGTTCAAAGGAGGATCAGAATTGCATTCTGAGGGACCATTATCAGCCTACTACATCCCTCGGACATATTTTCAACAAGTATAAAAATAAAGAGAGTTTTAGGGTTATCTCTCAGGAAACAAAAGATAAAGCAAACCAAAACAATTGTCACGCTCTCTAATTATTACATTTTTAGAGTGTAGGTGTTACAGTATTGAGGTAGAAGGGGTGGAAAGGAATTATTTAATAAGTACCTAGGTCTTCAAATCATCACAACAATCTAATAAGTAGGATGGTTCCATTTGTATTTTATCGGATAGGAAAATAAGACAATAATCTTAAATTGTCCTGGTTTATAGCTAATAAAAGGTAAAGCTCGGATTTGAATCCAAGTGTTTCTGATTCTAAAATCCATACAATGGATTTTTTTCTGCCATACAATGCTATAATGTCTTAGGAAATCTTGGATTAAGTCTTTGAATTTTAAGTTATCAGGATAAAAACAAAGCATAGCTTAGTTTGCTAGCAAAAACCACTCCATAAATACTAAAATATTTTAATATATATTGTAATAAGCCTCTTATATACTTAACATTTGCTATAATAAAATGGTTGATATACAAAGTTAAAGTACTAAGAGCACCTATTAAATCCTTACCATTTTAATAATCACCATTTAAATTTCAGTGTATAGAAATGCTGCACTGTAGATATAAAAAAGTAGAACTAATGAGGGCCTTTCTTAAGTACGCATCTTTATGCAAATTAGGAAAAGTATCTGCTGGGTGGAAGAATTAGAAAAAGGTGCCTAGTCCTCCAAGCAGACACAGCCTGGCTGGAGAGTGGAGCTTAGACTAGATTTCTGATGCCAATTGCCCCCTGATCCAAGTTCCTCTGTGTAATATCCTAACTACACAATTCTACAAATTGGCCATGCAGTTAGTAACAGCCATGATCAATAGTTCTAGAAGTTAGCCAATATGCCCATAGACAGGTCCATATTCTGGAGATTAACTGTACTGCTGAAATATATAGTTTGGTATTTGAAGGGACTACCTACTTGATTTTCAATTACATTATTTAGATAAAAGTATTAAAACTAACAGAGGCAGTGTGAAAGATTAGCAGATATAACGACAAAGCAAACATAAGTTTAAATTAAATGATCTCTTCAAGCAGTCTTCTAATTTTTTCTCATCTGCTGTGTACCCCCAGTGAATTTAGCATAAATTAGAAATGAATTAGCCATGTGCAGTCCGCTTCCACACAAGCCCAAAAAACACAGTTTAATTGTTCAGCTCAGTAAAATAAGTTCTCTCAAATTAACCAATCTAGTTGAATTAAATTATAAGTTGTGGTTGCATATGCCACATATATGATTAGTTTTATCAAGAAAGAGAGTAACCGTTTGAAAGGGTCAAATTATGAATTAAAGAAAATATACTAGCAAATGCCATAGTATGTTAGGTAAAGAAAGGAGAAAATTATGTAGCAAGAAAGTTTCTTAAAACACAACGCTTAAGTTACAATTAACAAAGATATAGCAGAGTTAGGAAAATTTAGGCAGTTCTTCATTAAAACAGAGTTATGTTCAGCTTATTCATTACTTGGCTATGTGAAATCTCCAGCAGTATCTCACAGAAGAGCGCTCTAAAGCACAGTTCTTCTTATAATATATACTGTGGCTAAATAAGCGTCTGGTGTCTGACCAATTTTTATTGCACCACTTGTAGGACAATATACTTTGATTTATTTACAAAGCTTAGCTTACTTGGCTCTTAGATATCCTGACCCGCTTTTTTTTTTCTTTGCTCAAAGCCTGCTACCCTTTCAAGAAGAAAGTTCTGCGTAGGTTGGAACTCAGTACCAATCTATTATATAATAAGATGCTATCTATTCTAGAGGAAGAATGGTTTAGAGGAGGAACTGGACAAAGGGGAGTTTGGAGACCCTTCCTGCTGATTAGCTTTAAGGTTGTTTCAATGCTTTTCTAGTTAATCTTTAGAGTAGAGCTTATAATTTTTAGTATGACAAATTTTAAATAGTACACAATCATCACAGTGAAATAAACTTCAAAATCAACCATCTAAATTATTTATATTTCCATATTCACAAAATAATGCAGTCTCATATATTAACAAAAAGTCTATAGTGAAGTCATTATACTTTCCCTTCTCTGCCAGGATTACTAATGGCTTCCCTTATTTAAAACACTAAAGTTCAAGCCGAAACTGGTTTGGCTCAATGGATAGAGCGTCGGCTTGGGGACTGAAAGGTCCCGGGTTCGATTCCAGTCAAGGGCATGTACCTTGGTTGCGAGCATATCCCCAGTAGGGGGTGTGCAAGAGGCAGCTGATTGATGTTTCTCTCTCATCGATGTTTCTAACTCTCTATCTCTCTCCCTTCCTCTCTGTACAAAATCAATAAAATATATTAAAAAAAAAATAAAATAAAACACTCAAGTTCATATAAACTTTGTCTATTACTTTGTCTCGTGGTAGATACTTCAACATTGTTAGTGCTTTAAAAATAACATTTTCTAAAAGCAGTTTGTTTCACTGTAGAAAGTTAAAGAAATATTTGGAGGAGGAAAAAATAAGAAAAAATAATTCTTCCATCCAAAGGTAAGTAATACTAATATTTTGGTATAAATACATAAGTACAGTTTATAATATATTTTTGCAACTTATATATCTTACTTTATAATCTTTTTCTTACTTAATATATTAGAAACTTTCCAAATTATTAAATATCACTGTCCAAAGAATCAGAATTTTTCAGCATTACTATAAAAATAATAGTAAAAAATATCAGCATTAGAAAAGCATAGTGACCACCAGCAAGAGTGATGGTTGCTGTCAGGTTTCCTTTCCCACTACTTGACAGTTGGATTAGAAGCAAGATCCATCTCAACACGAACTAGTTTTCCTTCATAATAAAAAGCATGTCCTTTATGAAGAGTTTCTGATGCCTGACTTAAAACTTCTGTTAATATGTCACCACATTCTTCTAGGTTACTTTCTTTGTAGCTTGTCTTAGAAAACTAATTGTTTTAAATACACGTGTAGCTTTGTTCTGCTACTTTTTAGCTTGATTCCATTTGAGTGTTTTAATACTGAAACTGTCTTAATACTGTAAAACACCCAGATATATGTCATTCTGATGGGCGCTATATAAACTGTGAAATAAATATACTTACAGATTTTAATTGGAAGGCAAAACAAACTAAAATAAGAAAAACTAATGATGCTTTATAAAGTCCTTCTCAAGTTACAGACTATAAATTAGGACCAAAAACATACCAAGTGGACAGGGTAGAATAGAAAGAAGCAGATTTTTTATATTGATTATACTCATTTTTTCAGGCTAAAAAGCGAAATAAATTTAAAAGATGAAATCTGCAACAGGTGGCTGTTGACTTGCAATTAGTGAAAACTTCTGGCAGAAACATACCATGAAGTAATCACAATGATCTTGGATTGTAAGATGCTACTTAACCTTTTGCAAAAAAAATAATGAAGTAGTATGATGCTATGGGGGTTTATAAGGAAGGCCATTATCACAGGCTAACCAGGTCCAATAATATACTCTCTTGGAACATGCAAGCTTGGGCTTGTCGGTACCCAATCAAAAACACTGGTAGCTTATTTCATACTCATTATACTTCGCAGTTTTCCCTGTCTTATAACCCCCCCCCCCCAAAGTGACACACCTCAAATCCTTAGAAACAAAACATTTCACTCTGACGAAGCTTTCAGATTATTTTTGACTGCTTGCAGAAGTAAACTTTTAAAAGTACAATTATCAAGTATCAAAGTATAGCAAAGACTTAATCATGAATAACTACTAAAAGTACAGTTATCAAAATATAACGAAGGTTCAACCATGGATTACTAAAGCCACAACTCCCCAAAGACAATGGTATCACAGTGTAAGGTTTCAGAGGTGGAACAGCAATAGCTACTATAAAGACTCTGGCCTACGTGTTCTATTTAACCAAACATAGTATTTCTGTCCTTTTAATTAATCTTCAGAGAAGCAATTAACTATATAGACACAGGTTGTGGTACATTTAAAAACACATTTAAAATAATTTTTGCAGATTATAAAGATTTGTGTAAAAACAATGAGGCATGTGAATGATACAAAGAAAACATTACCGGTAATCACTCAGGAGGATATTAAGTGTTCAAAACTGTAACGGCTGACATCATTTCAAACAAGATATAAATGCTAATCAAAGGTAATATACAAATATGTTTTGTAGGACTTGTTTTAAAGGTGAGGATTAAACAGAAAAAGTAGGAAAAAATTAAGTACTATTTGGGAATTGTTTCTGGACACCTCTTAAAATTTACATCAATTATGAATGACACCTAATGCACTCACCTGGAACTCGATTGATCCTTTCCTACCACTGTTAACCAGCAAAGCCATAAGGTTATTTCAAGATAAAGGTTATATATGCTCCCCAAAAGGGTGTCCTCAAACTATTAGGAAAGTGAAAAGACTATCCTAAAAACTGACTCCCATATAAGCAAATCTAACTTTTCAACAATATTTCCATAATCTTTTAAAACACAAAAAAAACAATCATATACAAGTTAAAATGCTAAGTGCTAGATCTCAGAATAGCCATTTTTAAAGCTTTTAAAATGTAAAGCATAGTTTTTAACACATTATCAAGTAGGGGAATTACCTGGATAGATGGCTTGTTTAAATGACCCAGATTTGAGGTTGTTTGTCTTGGTTCATGTCCTAGGACCATCATATTAGCATTGATCAATCTGAAGGCATCAATAACAACCTGTAAAAACAAGGTGTCAGGTCAATTCTCTTTTAAAAAGCAAGTGATGATGCCAAGCAACAGTGGACAAGGCATGATCAACTTGCATCTGTTTCTGGCCTATTTCCAGGAAATCATTTAATTATAATATTAATAAAAAAGAGCCTCCTGCTGACTATGCCATCAGCACACCACCCTCAATCTTGTAATGTAAGATGACACCAATTATTGCAATTTTCATACGGCAGTAAAGAAAAATATTAACTTTGCATCTTTATTATTGCAGTGCTTCATTACTAAACTTACACTAAACAGCCTTCACTGGTGTGCATATGTTTGTCACCTAATGTTTACCTAATCGAAATGAATGACAAAGAGAAACTAAAACTGAAAGTGAGCACAAGCTAAGGGACCACATCTAAAGCCCAGTCCTGTCACATCAATTATCCCACCACAGTACTTGAAATGACAACAAAATTACAACCAGCAAGGCACTTGCTCCATGTATTCTCTTCTAGTCAGATACCTTTTACTTCTTGTGACTATAAAAGACTGTATCTTGTGTAATGGCCTTAAGTGTCCAAGCCACTATCAAGAATAGGCAGCAGAACACAAGAAAACCAAGGTCAATCTGTGCTTTAAGCCAGGAACATAGTAATGGCATGGCATACAGTTCACAGTAAAGAAATAACATTAGGAATCCTCTTTGTGCTAAGAGTATTCAATATTACTGTATAAAAGACTTTAAATTCTTACATGATATAATGTCATCTGTTAGCTCATATATTAAGAGACTTAAGAATCACATACTGTCTTATAGCTTTTCTCTGTTCATTACCATGGATTTGAAAGAATTCATTAAAGCTTTTAAATTTGTAAAGTTTTAAGTAAAGCACCGGGACTTTGCCTCTTTCAGGGAATTAAAATCAATTACCAAGAGAATAAACTCAATACATTTATTTATCACATAAAAACAATTTTAAAGCAAGATAATATAGTATTTCTAAACTTGTTTTACATAGTGTTAAACAACTGGGATTTATTAACATTTTAAAAGCTATTGCTATTTAGTGAGTTCTCATTTGTACATGTTGTCTGCTAAAGAACAAGATTTAAAGAAAGAGAAAAAACAAAAATCTCCCTTCCTAAAAGGCTGCCACAAAAAGTCAACAGTATCAGAGTACAAACTTAAACCAAGCATTAGGAAAAGTGAGTCAATCTACGACCTCTATCCACTCTAAGGCAAAACAAAACAAAACAAAAAAACAAACCCACAAAATCAACTTTGAAGTTTGCTTTTATTTCTAACAGTTTGAAATTCCCCAAAGGTTTTCCTTTTGCCTCAAAATAAAACCAAGTATCCCCAAAACGTATGATTTAATAGTTTGTAGAACCATTTTTTTAATACAGAAACTACAATCCAGACTTAACTTTCATATTTATATATATAAATATGTCCCTCATCTATATACTTAAAATTTTTTTCTAATTATATTTATCCATACAGCAATTATAAAAATAGGTATTAATATTGGACATTATAATACTTTAAAAGTTGTCTAACATTTTCTACTAAAAAGCACATAAAATGAGATGAAATTAAAATGTTGTCAAAAGAAAAGTGACCATTTTGACAGCTGTGCAACTAAAATACAGAATTAAGAATTGCCACTCTTACTACTATTGGTAAATACATAAGAGCAAAGCAACATTTTGATCCAATTGTTTTTAGAATACTTGGTTTCCATTTTAAAATTTCAGTAAAATGATTTGTAGGAAAAAACACTCTACGAAAACATGAAAATTCCATATTTATAAAATGCCTAATTTTTTTTTATATTGAACTCTTTCAAACGAAAACAGAATACAGTTACTTGACATGCAAAAATATCTGTAATATTTCTCTGGAATATTATAAACAGGTGTGAAATTTCATAAAAGGAAATTAAAGTACCAGTTAAGTATATATCATGATCAATTAAAAACAAATGGGAATAAAATTTTAAAATTCTGTTATAAATTAAGAGAAAAATTCAACAATTTAATATTACTGTTCAGCTAATAAATGATGGCCTATGTTGCCGAGACCAGTTTGGCTCAATGGATAGAACGTCGGCTTGGGGACTGAAGGGTCCCGGGTTTGATTCTGGTCAAGGGCATGTACCTTGGTTGCAGGCATATCCCCAGTGGGGGGTGTGCAAGAGGCAGCTGATCGATGACTCTCTCTCATCTATGTTTCTAACTATCTCTCTCCCTTCCTCTCTGTACAAAATCAATAAAATATATTTTAATAAAAAAAATGATGGCCTATGTGAAACACCATGCTTAGGTGGACAATTCCTGAGTAGCAATATGATAGCCAACGGAAAATAAATACTTTACACTAAGATTAAAGGAATCTGCTGCCATCACTATAGCAACTGCCTAAGGAAACTAACATGTTCAACAACCTGCAGACCAAAATTAGACTTAGTATGCAATAAAAACATAAATATGACAATAAAGTCTACCTTTTAATTTCTGTACAATTTTATAATTGCTTTATTCACTGTGAGAATATGTGGGTTTCTTCTTTAGAGCAACCTATCAAAATAGACTCATTAATGTCCGGTACACTAATGAGCAATGGGTAAAGAAGGTGTTAATTATGCCACTGCAAGATTCAAGAAAAAGCCCCAGTGAGCACTTGGAGGTGTGTACAAGCTGAAGGCGTCTCTCCATGTTTATGTATTTCAGCATGATGCAACAGAATGATAGCAAAGTGGTCACTCCATGGGTAAGAAGGAAAAGCATGGATACAATATATTGAACAAAGAACCCCCAATGATTGATTAAGGTATGAGAGGGAGGAACAAGGCAAATAATCCATTTTTTGGAGCGATATGAATTTTCTAAAGAGTTTCTTTTAAAGTATACATATACATTAAACCAGTTTAGTTCAAATCCAAATAGGAATTTAGCCAAACAAACAAACAAACAAACAAAAAAACTTAACATGAAAACTACCTATTTAATAATAAAACCTTGTAAGCTAAAGTATGAAGAATATTTTCAGGAATGTGATGCTACACTTTTATAATTCCCTTCCATGCTGTTGTCCTACACACCATGCTGAATCTCTACTCACCAGCCTGACCATTTAATTTTTCTGGTACAAGTGCCTTGAGACTTTCCAGAGGTCACTGCAGCAGCAGACAGCTTATAACAAAACCATTAGCAGTCTGGCTAGCTTAGGGAAACCTCTTACTTTCCTTTTTTGTTTATTATCACTGCATGAATCTGCAGCATATGATAGTTTATAATTTCTCAGGCTTGTTAAATTCATGTTAAAGGTCTGTTTTCTTGTTGAATAAATTTTGTTCATATAATGCTGCCTATTTCATACACTCAGTCTTTAATAGCACCTTTGGTCTATGCGCAACTCACAGATCAAAACAGAGGACTAAAATAGGGGTTGATGATGCTATTTACATGTGTGATTCCTGCTGTCTTCTTGTTAGTAGCTTTAATATAATAGAAGACCTTGTCTGTTTTGTAATTAACACATCTTTACTGGAGAGATATTTGGAAGTGATTGCTGTGAATATACTGGTTAGTAAAATAAACACAATCACACACCACTTTCTGTTATCAGACAAATTTGTGAATTGTACACATTATATTCCAGATCAACAAACTGTGATATAACAGCCAAGTAGAAGACACATATTTATATAACCCTTTATTTTTCTGAAAATATGTATTCATTCTGACCTTGCAAATATAATTAGCTTGTGGGATGTGCAGATTTCGGTATCATGGTTGCTTTACTAATTGCAACTCTTGGAAATAGACACTAAATATTTGGAAGCTGCCAATACAAAATAAAAACTACATTTTTTTGTACATCTGTCTTAGCTTATAAAAGCAAAATAGTTTTAAAAACAATACTGTGTTCCATATTTATTTCAAGCACACTCAAGGGTCAAGAACCTATCATTTCAATTTAATAATGAATATAGTTTAGGACTCAAAACTAATTATTTTTAAATTCTGCTTAATTCATATTTTTGGCTTTTTTTCATGAGTATAGTACAGTTTATTCCATATGCTATTATTTTTAAATTTGTGTTTTCATATCAACTGCTAGGTTACTGAAAGACTAAATTACATTTCTAAAACACCAATCTATAATTTCAAATTTTTACATTCAAAGGAATTTATATTTCTAAATAACTAACAAATTATTTAAAACAAAGGAAAAGGTGTTTGAAAGAAAAACGTATAGCATTTCTGTCAGTAGTTATATAATTCATAATACCCCCTTCTCTTTTTTAACAGTAGCTGCTGCCGTTAGCATTTACAATTGTATTTACATTGAAGTCAATGACTATGGAAATGTTTATATAGAAAATGAACTAGAATAATTTTTTTAAAGCTTGAAAAAAAGTTTTAAACTTCAAAATCAACATCAAACATCAGAAAAAGGAAAAAGAATTACAATTCAGTTACAGCTAAGTTACATATTTATATTTACATAAGCCTACCACCATATAAAGTAAGTCTCTGAATGACTATAAAAACCCAGGTGTGGAAAGAAAAGCAACACCCCATATGAAATATCCTTTACCACCTAGAAATGACCTGTTATCAACTGCTTAGGCTGTTTCCAGATTCTTTAAAAATTAACGGTGCATGTGACCTGGGAAGTACTGCTGGGGTTTGTGACCATTTCGTTACTTCTGCTGCCATGCACTGCCAGGCATGTATGAGAGAAAAACATCTATGTCTCTTGTAAGCCCACAGCATAAAAAATTCAAAGAAACCTTACTTTTTATGTCATTTCCAATGAAAAGCACTAAGAACTAAAACTGACGCATGCCAAATGCATATCACTGAATTACTGTGATTTCTTAGTCTCGAGTTTGCAACATGAAAATTATTTATAAAATGTCAATTTTAACTTTGGAAAAGAAATTCCTATGTGTATGTACATTTTCTTTCTTCATCCTTGGAGAATTGCTTACTGTAGCTAGAGATCT